CTCGCACGGGTGACATGTCCATGGGGCGCAACCTCAGAGCCGCCCGCTGCCTCGACTTCACGGACAAGGACGACGACGACGGCCTCTACCAGCCCTCGGACTCGGAGTCGGAGCCGCCCGCCAAGAAGAAGGGGTGAGTCGAGGCCCAGGGTGGCACTTGAGCCTTGGTGTTGGAATTATTATTGTTGTTGTTGTTGTTATTGTTGTTGTTGTTGTTGTTGTTGTTGTTGTTGTTATCATTATCACTTGATATTATTATTATTATCACTTGTTATTATTATTATTATCACTTGTTATTATTATTATTATCACTTGTTATTATTATTTTTATGATTATTATTATTATCATTAATTGTTGCTGTTGTTGTTGTTGTTACTGTTGTCGTTTCGTTTTATTACTGTTATTATTATTGTTGTTATTATTCTTTTTATCATCATCATCATTGCTATTTTTTTTGCTGTATTTGTTTTGTTGTTGTTGTTTAGATAGTGGGAATGGGGTTGTTGAAGGGCAAAAAATAAGTCATCATTTTATTGTAGGAATAATTGTTAAAATGTTATTAAGAAAACAACACCCGTGCCGTTTTTTTCTTTTATATAGATAATGAACGACATTGTAATTAAAGTTATTTTCGTTTTAATTTTGTGTTGAAAAAAAATCCAAGTGGACGAAATAAACATTTTTTATGATAACCTCCCTTTCAATTAGCAGGTGTTACCGAAGCCTATACATGTGTGCATTATCATATTACCAATTCGATATCAAATATATCTCTTGATTTTTGATAGTGCTCATCAGCGTTATGTGCACGTGTCCTCGCAGAAAGATGATCTACGCGCACGAATGCACACACACATACACATTTCCCCTTTCCTGGTACCACATGAATATTCTCTCTATCTATCTATCTATCTATCTCTATCTTTCTTTCTCTTTCTCTTTCTCTTTCTCTTTCTCTCTTTGTCTCTCTCTGTCACTCTCTCTCTCCCTCTCTCTCTCTCTCTCTCTCTCTCTCTCTCTCTCTCTCTCTCTCTCTCTCTCTCTCTTTCTCTCTCTCTTTCTCTCTCTCTCTCTCTCCCTCCCCCTCCCCCTCCCCCTTCCCCTCCCCCCTCCCTCCCTCCCCCTCCCCCTCCCTCCCTCCCTCCCCCTCTCTCCCTCCCTCCCCCTCCCCCTCGCTCCCTCACACATACACACACGCGTTAAGCACGTCACGCCGCGGCCGAGTGACGAGTGAAGACCCTCGTCCTGTGAAGGTTAAGAGATGGGCGGAGGTGACGCTCAGGGTATGGGCGTAGGGCGGAGGTGACGTCCAAGGAGTATGGGCTTTGGGGTCGACCGTGGGCGTGGGCGCATACGGGAAGCGGCGTTTTGGGCGGATGCTGGGTTGTGAGATGGAGATGAAGAGGAGGCGGGAGGAGAGGGAGGAGGAGGAGGAGGAGGAGGAGGAGGAGGAAGAGGGACGGAGGCAGCTAGGAGAAGAAGAAGGAGAAGAAGAAAAGGAGGAGGAGTAATGGGGTGAGTGGGTGAGGAGGAACAGCAACAGATGGTTAAAAATGCGTGAGAATGACAAAAGAAAAAAAAAGAGAAAGGAAATGAATATAAAAAGGATAGAGAGGAAGATTTTATTTTTTAAAGCAGGAAAGAAAACGAACAACAACAACAAAGAAATAAAAATGCAAAAAAAAAAAACAGAAACAGAAAGAAACGAGAGATGAACAAAAAAAATAAAAATAATTAAATAAATAAAACAATAATAATAAATAATAAACAGAATAACGAACGCATGAGAACCCACAAAAAAGACGGCCGTTTGACGAGGCGGAAGGCGCGGAGATGCCCATGGCCGGTTAATAACAGCGGGCGTATATGGCCAAGAGCGAACCCAGATAGCGCTTGATTGTAGGGGCGCCGAGATCTGTGTGGGCGTGAGGGAAGGCGAGGGGGGTGGGTGCGGGCGGAGTGGGAGGAGAAGGGGGGGGGAGAAGGGAAGGGATGGGAGGAGAGAGGGGAAGAAGGAGGAAAGGAGAGGGAGAGGAAGCGAAAGGGGGAAGAAGGGAGAGGAGAAGAGGATGGGGGAAGGGTTATAAAGGGGAAGGGAAAGGGGGAGATAAGAAGGAGAACGATAACGAAAGGAGAAGAAATAGTAGAAGGAGAAGAAGAAGGTGGAGGAGGAGGAGGAGGAGGAGGAGGAGGAGGAGGAGGAGGAGGAGGAATGAAGAAGGAGGAGGAGGAGGAGGAGGAGGAGGAGGAGGAGGAGGAGGAGGAGGAAATGAAGAAGGAGGAGGAGGAGGAATGAAGGAAGGAGAAGGAGGAGGAGGAGGAGGAGGAAATGAAGAAGGAGGAGGAGGAGGAGGAGGAAATGAAGAAGGAGGAGGAGTTAGGAGGAGGAGAACGAGAGAAGTAGGAGAACGAGAACGAGAACGACAGAAAGAGGTGGAAGAGAACAAGAGAAAGGGGAAGGAGGAGAACGAGAGGAGAAGAGAAAGGGGAACGAGAGAAGAGGAGAGAGGGGAAGAGAGCCTTCGCGAGCCCAGCCAAAGAAGCAAGATGCGCTAACCACCCCGCAGCCGCTCTATATAAGGACCACAATGACCGCAGCTTAATGAGTAGTTGGCGCTTCCAGTTTGAACTTTCTAGCAAAAAGTGGCGGGCATTGGGCGGTGTGGGGGGGGGGGGTGCGGGTGCGTGAGGGCGGGGGGCATCGGGCGGGTAAGCTTAGGGGGGGAGAGAGAGAGAGGGGGGGGGAGGGGGGTAGATGGTTTGCGCGCTTCATGCTTTCTTGTTTTTCTTCACTTTCTCAACCTCTCTTTTCCTTCTGTCTTTCTCGTATTTATCACTTTCTCTCTCGGTGTCTCTTTTTTTTTATCTTTCGTTGTATTGATATGTGCCTATTTTCCTTCGAATTCCCTTTCCATTTCTTTTATACCATATTTATTACGTACTTTTTTTTCGTTCTTACTTCGTTTTCTTTCATTTTCCTTCATTTCCTGTGCATTTCTTATAATCATTTCGTGTTCTCTAAATTTGCCCAACCGCAGTCTCGTGACGAAAACCACCATTTTTTTCACCTCCAACAAAACTAGTCTCTCTCTCTCTCTCTCTCTCTCTCTCTCTCTCTCTCTCTCTCTCTCTCTCTCTCTCTCTCTCTCTCTCTCTCTCTCTCTCTCTCTCTTTCTCTCTCTCGTCCACTAACATTTATCTCTCAGTATATTTGTCACACGAAAAACTGTGGTGATACTACATGGATATACTTACACAATCTACATACATACTTTTATGCATTGTGTTTGTGACTGTGACTGTGTACGTGGACTGTATGTGCTTATACACGTATGTATGTGTGCACGCAATCATTATATATGCTAATTTCGCCCTGTATTTGTCCTCGGCGTTATTTATTATGGGACTTAGGTCATGTAGGATTTTCCAACGTCCTGCGGCAAAGACCAAGACGCGGCAGGTGTCTTGTATGGCGTTTCCGTCCTAGATTAAAAAAAAAAATAAATAAATAAACAAAGAAAATAGTTTTCTTGTTTGTTAACTCTTTTTTAAGAAAAATTGTCATGTCTCGCCTCTTTCTTTGTCTTTCTCTCGCTCTCACACTTGGCAACGCGACTGTTCTTATTAAGAATAAACCAGTTTATTGCACATACTGATGATTACTTTGTCTCCTGCAGCAGCTCGTCTGGGAGAGGAAGAGTGGGGGGGGGGAGAGGAAGAGGAGGGAGGGGGGTCGAGAGGAAGAGGAGGGGGGGATAGAGAGAAAGGAGAGGAGGAGAGGGGAGGAGGGAGGGAGAGGCGGGGGGAAGGGAGGAGGAGGGAGATGGTAGAGGGAGGAAGGGGGAGAGGCTGAGGGGGGGAGGGAGGAGTGGGAGAGGGAAGGAGGGCCAGGGAGAGGGTGGAGAGGGTGTAGGAGAGAGGGGGGGAGGGGGCATGGAACACCACACCAAAAGTAACTCCCTTGTTTACTCATGCATGTGTGCTAATGTTTCTTGTGGGTGGAGGAGGACAGGGTGAGAGGGGAGGGGGGGGGGGGAGGGGGTCAAGCGCTTAATGCTTTTTAAGAGTCAACTTATGACAGTACTCTCGGGTGCTCTTGCTGCTTTTGCTCTCTCTCTCTCTGTCTCTCTCTCTCTCTCTCTCTCTCTCTCTCTCTCTCTCTCTCTCTCTCTCTCTCTCTCTCTCTCTCTCTCTCTCTCTCTCTCTCTTATCTGTCTGTCTCTCTCTTATCTTATCTGTCTCTCTCTCTCTCTCTCTCTCTCTCTCTCTCTCTCTCTCTCTCTCTCTCTCTCTCTCTCTCTCTCTCTCTCTCTCTCTCTCTCTCTCTCTCTTCTCTCTCTCTCTCTCTCTCTCTCTCTCTCTCTCTCTCTCTCTCTCTCTCTCTCTCTCTCTCTCTCTCTCTCTCTCTCTCTCTCTCTCTCTCTCCTCATTTTTATCCAGTTATTTCGTTCTCTCTATTTGCGCATCACATGTTTATCTGTTTGAAATCATTTTACAGTACATTTAACCTACTTACAAACACTTTTCTCAGGCCATGTTCTCCATCCGAAGGGAATGGGTGTAAGGATTTAGCCTCAAGTAAGAGAGGAAATATATATTGCTTTTTCTGTTTTTCGCTCTCTCTCTCTCTCTCTCTCTCTCTCTCTCTCTCTCTCTCTCTCTCTCTCTCTCTCTCTCTCTCTCTCTCTCTCTCTCTCTCTCTCTCTCTTTTTCCTTTTTTTTGACTGACACAATGTCTTCCAAGTTGAATCAGGGGGCCCCTCCCTTCCTCTCTTTCTCTCGTTCTTTTTTTCGATTTTTAGATCTTTTCTCTCGTTCCTTTTTTCCTTCTGCACTTCCTTCATGTCTGTTCTCCATTTCTCAGTCTTCCTAAAAATACCTTCTTGTTTCCTTCCTTTCTTTTTTTACTCTCTCTCTCTCTCTCTCTCTCTCTCTCTCTCTCTCTCTCTCTCTCTCTCTCTCTCTCTCTCTCTCTCTCTCTCTCTCTCTTTCTCTCTCTTTCGCCCTCGTCTCTTTCGCCATCCAACCACCGCATTGTGCTTGACAATTATGCAGTCACACAACCACCATCCGCTCTCCCCCCCCCCCCCCTCCTTCCCGCCCCACTCCTTCACCCATTCCTCCATCCTCTC